ATTAACAGCTTCAGAAGCTCAAGCCATTAAATTAGGTCCTCTCCCGATCTGAGCAGAGAGGTGAGTATCCAGAATCCGCTTTTTCCTGAGTCCACAACTGTTTACTATGGGACTTGACTGTCTTGCGTTCCAAGCTTATCCATCTGCGCGTTGCGGACATGCTTTCTTCTGCCCATCACAGAGGTGGTAGGAGGCTCAATTCATTGTTATTTGTAGAGTGTGCTCTGATTGCCAGCTGAAAGGCAGAGATTGATAGAGAAGTCCCGTGCAGTGACAGCGGATTTGGTCTCTTGGAAATGCAGGCTTTGCTAACAGTGCGTGGGGTAAAAGGGTGAGACTTCAGCTAAATCCGTTGGTGTTTTGACTGTGCGTTTAATCTGACAGGGGACGAATGTAGGAAAAAAAGTGAGCAATTTGTTAGGGTTCACGTATTTCAGTGATGTGCTAACTGGGGAGAGATCCTGAGAGAGAGAACTAAGGCGCTTGGAAATACGTGCTATTGAAACTCTTGCCCTGTGCACAAAATCAGAATTTCTTTGTTGACTACTCTTGAATTTTTTTTCTTCTAAGATTTTTTAAACTTCAGCTGCAGTTACAAATGAAATAAGGACTAAAAGGGTCTAAGAAGAATGAATATAAGCGAACACAGGAATCCAGACTATTTGCAAAGGTCTGGGCGTACTCTGAAAACTAAATGATTCCTACCCCTGCTTTCTAACCTCACTGCTTGCAGAGGCGTTTTTCCAAAGGAGACCCTCCTGAGTCTGCACACTGTGTGCGAGGTTTGCCTATGGGATCCTGGCTTTATAAAGAGGGCAGAGAGAGTGGATTAAATCAATATTTCATTTATTTGTGCTTGTAATTCCTCTTACATCAGCTGCCACATAAAGATTTCCCCTATTTTCTTCCCCTCCTCCTCGGCTTCATTTACTATGCACCAATAATTTCCCTTTGACGCTTTCCTGCCAGTTCCAGTGCCAGATGGCTCCGGTTCGAGCTTCTCCCCTCTCTTGGGAATGGCCCCCATTGTCAATGCAAAGGAGGCATCGTGGCTTTGAACCCAAAGCTGGGACCCAAACTTCAGGCGCGATGTGAGGAGGAGCTAAAACACTAATGCAGGAAACCATGCAAACAGCACACCCTCCCACTCATCGCCATTAAGGAAAAACCCTTCACTAAAGGCTGTTTTGCATTTTCCCCAATGGTCCATGTATAGAAATCTCGTGCAAATTTAATTCTGTCACCACCTGATTCCACTTCCCAGCCATGAGGTTTCCTTTGTGTCATAAACTCAATTAGACATATGCATTTCACATCATGGACACAGATGTTAAAACAAAGTGTGCACGTATCTCTCTCTCTCTCTCTCTCTCTCTCTCTCTCTCTCTGTGTGTGTGTGTGTGTGTGTGTATGCGTATACATAAGCTTCAAAATGATAAAGAAAGTGAGTAAATCTGTTTACTGCGCTAGCCCGCTATGAAGAACAAAGTGCCCATATGTGGCGAGCAGGGCTGAATTTCTGATTGTGTTCGGCTGGGCTGTTACATCTTTGAAGTCAATAGAGTTTCCCTGGGTCTGCGCTGGGTGACAGAGCTGTGTTAGGGCCTCTCTCACATTTCATTTAAAAGTGGCGAGGGGAGTGTCTTTGTGCGTGTTTTGTGTATGTGCCCAGCACGACAGTGCATTATCTGTAGCTGCTAAGGAATTTTACAGTCACACAATTTGGCAGTGAATGAAAGAAGTGGGTATTAATTTCTCGGTATACTGCTTGGTACATGGGAACATAATTGCAAAGATTGACATCGAACCATGTTTCTGTGTGCCACACAGCATGCAGCCCTGCCTTTTTTAAAAAAAAAAAAAAAAAAAAGCAGAGTTTCTATCCCAGGCTTGACTTTTCTGCATTTTGTGTCCATTTGGTTTTGGAGAGGGACACAAGAGGTTTCAGCATTGAGCAGAGAGTTAAATTATGCAGCTGCAAGACTGCCAAGCCCTTCAGAATAGGATGCTTCGTTTAGTTTTTCCACAATGCTATTGAAGTGCTTATTTTCCTCCTGAAGAGACACAAACAGATGCAAACTTCTGTAAACACTTTAGAAATGAATTCAGTGAGTTTGGCCTCTCAGCAGTGCTCAATAGCTGACAGAAAAATGTCTAATTAGTGCAAGTGGAAATAATAGGGCCACTTGGATTCCTTCCATCCTCCTCCAAGTCTACTTTTCCTAGGAACTCAAAAGCCCTTTTGTTCGGTGGGTCACCCTCTCTCAGGCTTTTGTGCTCCAATCTATTAAAGGAAGAAGGGGAGGAAAAAAAATAGATTAGGCAATGCTCTGTGCTTAAATATATGGCCTGTTCATGAGCATTTCGAATGGATAGTTTGCAGTGTCAGTTTACAGGTGCTTGGAGAGGGGGATTCCTCCATTGTTGACAGGCGCAAGCAGAGTTGTGCGCACAGAGCCCCAGGAATCCTTTTCAAGTGCCATCCTCTTAGAAAACTCAACTTGGGCTCAGGAAAAAAGGAAATTTGTACAAATCGGCCTCACTGAAGTGCAAACAAGCTAGCAAATACTTGCTGCAGATCAGTACTGCGATCCGGCATTGGTGCCATATATTGTAGGCTCTTCTCCAGACCATCTGAAATAGGTTTTCTCCTGCACCTCAAGGGCTCTGTGCTTGTGAAGCAAGGACGTGTTGTTTGATCTGGCTGCTAAGATTCCTCCTCTGGATTGGATGGTGGTAAAACTGCTAAAAATAAAGATGAATCTTGCTGTCAGTGAGGGAGCCCTGGTCTAAAAGCAAAGAGGATAGAAATTAGGCTGGGGAGGAATCCAGGGAACGTGCCCGAGTTACCAAAGTTACCCAAATGTCCAAAGTAGTTAGCAGAAGTTAAGTGTCTGTCTGGCTTGGTGCTCCTGGGCCTCTGACACTTCACAAGGAAGGCAAGTGAAAGAAACAGATGCTGCGGACAAAAATGGGAGATAGCTGCCAAACTTGATGTTTTAGTATGGATTTGGACAAAGTTTTCTTGCCAGTCTCTTGTTCTTTGGTGGTACAGTGGGGCCTGATTCTCCTTCCTCTGTGTTTCTTTACGTCTGTCATTATTAGGTTTACTGGCTGATATCAATGAGATGAGAAACACATCTTTTTCATGAAGAGACTCGGTATGCTTTAAGGTGGTTTTTTGTTTTTTCTCTTGTGATTTACACACCCCGAAGCAGTATTTTAATATTGCCGTCTCCAAGGTGTTAGAGCGAAGCTGGGCAGCAGAAGGCCGGCCTCTCTGAGGACTACGTGAGGCTGTTGAAAGGCAGGTGACCAACAAGACATCTCAGATCAGGGCTGCACCTGGCACCTGTGAGGCTCTATAGCTAGAGATTTGTCTGTCCTTACAGCTGACTGCTATCTTTCCGAAGCTGTGTGCTTCTCCTCTCCGTACCCTGTTTTTCTTGCTACCTTGCAGCAATTTTGTGAGAAAGACTCGTAACTAAGAGGCAAGAGTTTAGAGACATCATTTCATACTCTTTGTTCATCCTGTCTTCTGTGCTCTAGAGAGATTTTGACCCAGGATACAAAGGGGAGGACTCTGGTCACTGTTGTTAGTCATTCATCATGCCCAGCTAAAAGCAGCTGCATCAGAGAGGTGTTTCAGTGAAATCATGATTCGATTCTGCTCCCCCGTCCAAACCTTTGAAAAGCGAGTCTCCTAGATGTTAGCGTGCAGAGCACTTCCTTGCTTTGTGCTGCCCCAGCCCGCCACGGAAAGGGCAGTGTGGTTGGTGCCCTATCCTGACAGATATCCGCAGGGATTCCTGGATACCCGCAGAGGCCGTGTGCCTCTACGCGGCTGCTCTGCAGGGCTCCCCTTCTCCTTGACTGCACGCTGCCTGTGCAGCTCTGGCTGATGCCTTATGTCACTCTGAAGGCTCAGCCGCGGTGGGAGTACTGAGAGTTAATGCAGATTTGGAAATCATTAAAGATGACCTGCAAAGGAAAAACATTGGACTCCTGCCCTGTTTGTTCCTTTGAGGGTGTATAAAGGAGCGTTTGATCCTCCAGTCCTAATGCTGCATTAATGCTGGTTGTTTATATTTAGGGCCTGGTCCCACAGGGAGCGGCAGGTCCCTGGGAGTCCCTCATTTCCTATGAGACTTCTAAGGAAAAAGAGGAAAAGGAAAGCTGGAACTGAAATGTAGCACTCCCGCTGAAGTTAGTGGGAGTACCAGCTAATCATCAACAGTGATAAATGGGACCAGGTAGACATTTACATGTTCATGCATATTCAGAGAAGTCTGATTTTCAGAAATGGTTTGAAAAACGTGCTTTCTGAGCTGTCTATGCCTCAATATGCTTTATATGCCAAATAGAATGAGTGGTCATTCCCCATCTCTGTGTGGATAGCTTATGATTGCTATAGTGACCATTTCCAGTCTTCCCAGATTTTTGTCTGCTTTGAACTAATTGTTATTACTGCTATTAATCTGTTGGGCATAATTTAAATTTCTTAACACAGCAGCAAATTATATGGTTCCAGATACTACACAACAATTAGACCCCCCCAAAAAAAAAAAACAGGAACGAAGGCTACAGCACTAACAAAATACACAGCTGGAACTTTCCTATCTTAAAAATAAAAATATGTCTGGAATTAGTCATAATTGCAGATAATAATAAATCCTATCTGATCCTTGTCCCCAAGGCTTTCTCCTATACATATATGCCTAGGAATATGAAAATTATAAGCTGAGAGAGGAATGTTGAGACCACCTTTTAACTGCTGGTGAATACTTGCATCTTATAATGACCAATACTTTACTTGCTATAAAACCGTAGAGTTGCCTTACAGCAAATAAAGAAGGAAGTTCAGTCTAGTTTTAAATGGCATGTAGGCAGCACTGCTAGGCAGAGAATTCCTAAACTTGAATATTTTCTGTAAACAGCTAACTGAGCCTTTTCTGCTTGAGTTTCTTCAAGGCTGACTCATGATTTGGTGTTCTTTTCAGGTTTATTTGAAAGCCTCCATCATGGTCAAGGACTGTGTAACAGCAGCTGCTATTGTGTTTCTGATTGACCGCTTCCTATATTGGATTGATGCCTCAAGCAAACTTCTTCAGGTTGCCAAAGGTTTACACAAGCTGCAGCCCACGACACCGATAGGCCCTCAGGTGGTCATTCGCCAGGCTCGCCTCTCTGTGAACACAGGTAACAGAACCCTGGTGCGCTCATCCCTCCATTTTCTCAGCTCAGTCCCAATTAGGAGCTACTTGACTTTCAAGAAGATACTTTGTCCCTTTCTGGGGATGACATGCTTACGGTCCTGGTGCCATCTTTTCAAAGAGGCAGCCCGCTCCCAGCCCCCTCGAGCCCTCCCAGCTCCTCTCACTAGCACAAAGGGGCTGGTATAAAGGGGTTTGGAGCCAAAAGCGGTAGAGAAATTGTGAAAGGGTGTGGAAAATACTAATTGGAGCTTTTGTTCCTTGACAAATCTTCCCTGCTGGTTTCAAACAGGAGTATCTGAATTGCTATACTTCTGACCAAGGGCCTTTAAAAAGTAAATTAGAATCCTGGCATTTTTTCTGCACTGTCCCAGCTGCTTTTTTTTTTTTTTTTCCTTCAGTAGGCCCACTTGACTATGCAAGCAATACAGCGTATGAATTGATGAAATGTGATTGAAAAAAAACAGATGTCCGTCGTTCCTACGACATGGACAGCACCTGAAGGAATTTTAGTGTATCTTCTCCCTGTGCCTGTGGGGAGAAGAAAAGAAAGTCAAACAAGCTTGGTTTGAAAAACACAGTCTAGGAATATTTTGTTTGCAGAAATTAGTGAGAACTGTAAGTTCCCTGCAGAGACGTTTTTATTGGCGACTGTGGACTTGTAATGTGCCCATTACCATGGTATTTAGGTCTGGCACATCCGATTTATGGGGCTAGTTCAGCCAACACTTACAGTTCTCCACTGATTGGAGCAGCCTCGTTGAATTCAGTTGGACAATCAGGACAAAAAGCAAGGTTCAACATGAATAAAGCTGGTCAAATTAGTCCTTAGGCATCTCCTGCAGCCCATCAAGCCTGCCATGGATGACTTAGGCCGCCGAAACATGCAACAAGAACGCATGACATGCCATATGACAAGCAGCTGAAATGCAGAATGCCCATCTTTTGTTGCATCCTATTTACACTGGTTTTTTTGGCTATGAATTCTGTGCTTAGGGTGTTTCTTAAAAGTCAGGTAGTGAGTGACAGGAAGGCAGCATAGCCCCTAGCTACACTTTCTGCAGTGAGACCTCAAGTTAGCTGGCTTTGAGATGGATCTGCAGAGCTTCCCCTAATAGCGAGCTTCCCCAAAGAGACCAAAACGGTTTTACATTTAGTAAAGCCAGGTTTTCTTGGGACAGAAACGGGCAGCTCTGCTGCCGAAGGAAGCACGCTGAACTACTTCTTTCTGCAAGAGAGAAAAGCGAGGGATTCCCAACCTAAGGGGAGAGCTGCAGCTCAGTGCCTGCCCCAAGCTCCTTGCCACCTCCTGTGCTCTGAATCCGGCAGCAAGCCAATGAATGGGAATGAGCAGAGTGAGCACTGACTGCCTCCCTCGAGTCATGTGCTGACAGCATTGAGCTTGCAGTAGCAGCTGGGTTTACTCTAACACCCAGTGCACAACCTTAACCTCTCTCATAGAGGATGAGTGTCTATTGGTTTCTCCTTATATTCGCTTTACTAAAGCCTCCCTGTAGAATATGAACAACAGGCACAGAAATCCAACAGAGATACCAGAGCCTGACTTGAGGAAGCCTTTCTCCCTTTTTAAAGTTAAGTACTCTTCCAGGAGTATATAGTGTGTTAAACAAAACAAATATATAAGTAGTCTTATCTTACTGTGCAGCCACGTAGTACGGTATATAGCGTGTGAACAGATTCAACTATCGACAGTAACAAATCTATATGCAAGTGACTTCAGCATGTAATAGGTTAAATAACACTGCTTCTTTGTAGGATTTTCTAAAGCGAGTGCCTAGCTAGAAACAGCTACCTCCTCAGCTGTTTTTAATACAGTATTTTTTGTATATGCAAAATAGCTGATGTCACATAGATTCCTGACCATGAGGTAAAATCTAGCAGTGCATACTTGAATGGAAAGTTTAGACTAAACATGAACCGAATGACAGTGATGGGAAGGTGAATAAAATTTGCAGGAGGCTTTTGCTGGTGAGTGTTTTTGTTCACTTTATGCTGCATGATGCATTTTTACATTCATTTTCTATCTGCTTTTTTTTTACGAGGTAAACTTTTAAAAGCTGAATATATCTTAAGCAGCCTTATTAATGGCAATGGAGCAACAGGTATGCATTTCTTCTTTTCCAATTTCATAACTCTTAATTTTGGTGGGATTTTTTTTTTGTACTCATTGTAACAGTCGCACAAATCTCAAATAGAGCCAATCAAACTTCAGTAACGACTCATTACATCATGCTTCTCTTTTCGTCACCATTCTTTGCTAAAATGTGGACACTGAGACTTTCTGTTTTGAAACTTCCATAATTCATCCTTGCGTATCTTCACTTGGGTGGAAACATATTTTGCATCGACTGTCTCCCTACGAATTTCTCTGCCTTAAGAATTTTAAAATGTCAACCAGTTTCAAGTAATTGACTGATCTTGAAAACAAAGACTGGAAAAGAAACCCCAAACCCAAACCGATAGTGTAATGCTTATCCTCCAAAATCACACTGACCTTGCGAACTGAACGGATTCTTGATTCTAAGCCTATACACAGACTGCAGTGTAATTACTTAGTATCTTCAGAGTTAAGAAAAAAAGAGCAGGAGTCCTGGATCTTACAGCACTTTGTTCTAGTTCTCAATAGACATGCAAAACTGTACAAGGGGGAATATCCCTGAGGGCTTGGCGATATTTTTAGAAATTATATTTTTTCCTTCACTCAACCACCTTCGTTTTCCTTCACCAATTCAATAATTGTGTCAGACATCCAAAATCGTTATTTAATTACAACTCTTGAGACAATATATTTTAGGTTTTCATATCTGTTCTGCGTCTTGTTAGCCTTCAGAGATTATTTAGCCTATTCATTCAGGTTTCTGGGCAGCCATAAACTTAGGACATTTAGGAAAACTGTTCTAGTTTATGTTGATTTGTTTTTAATTTGAAAGTGAGATTCTCTTACGTTTATGTAAGAGGGCTTTAAACAGAATACCAGATATCAATGTTAAAGTAATACTGACTGTGAGAAACACTGCGTTTCAATTCTCATGGGATTATGCTGTTCTTTTAAGGTTGTTTTCATAATATTCAGTGATAGCGCTTGCTTATTTAATATTGAACGTGCACTGTTGAACAGATACCTCAGGCTGAGAACGGCAATGAAATGTTCATATGATTTAGGAAAGCTTAATAGCTTGATTTCATGCTACCTTCAGAAGTTCAAGTACAGGTTTGACACCGTGTGATTTGATTTGTATAAAACTGTTGTTTTAATACATACAATGTACTGACATGTGAAAAGAAAGCGTATTTTACTAATGACTAAAAATTATTGTTTTGTGTTCTGTGTATAATGATGAGGACAAAGATATTCCCGCATTCATTCTTTTTGTTGATTTTTAATGTATCTGTATAATGTTTATAAAATGACATTTTGTTATCTTACGGAAGAGAGGCACCTTTCATTTTTGTGTTGTTCTTATGTTCTGTATAGCTGTGATTCAAGCTACTTGCTCGCGTAACTGTCTTGTTGTATATCTTAACGTACTGTCGCTTTTGTCGTCTGTCTGCCTCTAAGGCCTGTCTCAAACCAGTTGAATTCAATGGAAAAATTGCTGGTGATTTACTGGGGTTTAGGTAACCCTCGGAGGTCTAAGATGAAAACAGCACTTTTGTACTCAGCTGAATTTTTCACTGCTTTTCAGGTACATGGCAATACGCTACGGAAAGTGATAGGACTCTAGTTCAGTCAGTCTGCTTACAAATCAGAGGACAGATTCTGCAAAAGCTGGGTAAGGCTCTTTTCTGCAAATGTCTGCTCAAGGTTTTTGCTTTTTTTTCTTTCTTTGCGGTCACCACTGACAATGATACGCATGTCATGTGTCAGAGTTTTAGCTTATGTTAAACTTCTGCCTGGTGTCCATAACACAGCTACAGAAGATGAGCTGTGTTTGAGGAAACGAGAAGCTAGAGCCGTTTCACAAGAAACCACATAACCACGTTTTGGAAATCACTTTTTTTTTTTTTTTTTTTATAACCGATCAGACCAGAAGTCAAGGCGCATTTTCGAATGTTATTAAATGTAATTCTATATTTTCCTGTGCTATTCCGTGTTTGCTAATGCTTTTCCCAAATTTGCTATCCCCAAAGGCAAGCAGTAGCTTTTCATAGGTACGCTGCATTGGTTTCCTCAATACAAGAAATTCCCTAGCTTTGAGCATGATGGACTTCTGTTTTCAGGGCTTGGTACTTGAGACCTACAGCCTTAATTTTACGCTTTTCTTCTGGTGTGACCTTTCATTTTCAGTGACTGTGGAGCTGAAGTCTTTTATGAACATGAAACGTGTGTTTGTGGACAGCCAAAAGCTAAAGGAAACTAATAAATATTCACTCTCACTAAAGCAAAAAGTGCCATGGTATGGCTTTATACTGTTCTGAGGGCTCCTAACTCAAGGAGGTATAAAGTAAATTCAGCCTACTGAAAGCCATCTGTAGCAGTTATCTCTTTAGTGACTATTTTTCTACTTTATTTCAGGAATGTGGTATGAAGCAGCAGAGTTGATTTGGGCTTCAGTTGTGGGATATTTCAAACTTCCTCAACCAGATAAAAAGGTAGGATGTCCCTTTCGTTCTGGATATCCTTGTGAATCTAAAAAATCATTCCAGGTCACCTTTTGTTTGCTTCAGTCATGTCTTTTAGAAATGATGTTTCAATTATTATGCCTCTCAGAGAAGGTTAACCTTCAGGACAAATATTCCAGCAGAGGTCTGCAACATACACTGCTTCCACGTGCCCACAGAGACTTATGGGCACCTTTCTTCCTGCAGAGGAACAAAAGCAATGACTTTCATTTAAGCAGAATGTTCCAAAGCAAACAGTCATCTGGGATGTCGCAGGTGCCTCTGACAAGAACAAACTAATCCCAGAATGCAGCCATGGTTATTTTTCAGGACTAAGGCCAATTTTTACCTAGTAGCCGCACTTGTCTGACTGTTGGAGTGTCCATGAGCTGCACTATGCTGGCCTGGGTGGGTGATGGATATTCCCTAGCACTGCAGTATATGAATACCTCGCAGTGTCTAATGTGTCTGTTTTTGTGAGGCAGGGTCACACTAATTTTCTCATTGCAGATGAAGCAACAGTCACTCAGTGTGTCTCTGGCTAAATGAGAACGTGGACCTCGGTCTTCCAAGCACCAGGGTGATGCTTTAAGTTTTGTAACTGTACCCTAGTATGAGCTATACCACAAAAACAGAACTTGTCGCCTCTCCACCCTACTTTAAAGCTTTACCTTAATCTCAGAATATTTCTATGGGAGCAAAGATGTGAAGTGAATTTCATAGAAAGCACATAGATACTTCCTAGCTTTCTTAACTATTTAGCAGGACAAGCCCTTAGCTATTCTGTATAAGTTGAATGTTCTGGAAAGAGAGAATTTGCACATTCACGGATCTACATGGTACATATTCATGTCTTATTTTTTAATTGGTTCAATAAAATCAATTACAATTAGAGATAACAAAAAAAAATTATAAACCAAAGATTTAAATTGTTAACACCAGGAACTCTTGACTTTTGTCAAACTCTTTTTATTTGTTTTGAAATAGAGTAATAAGCTAGGAACGTGTTTTGTCAACAAAAATGGCTTGTTTTCCTAGGCTACACGTGGTCAGCATTATTCTGTCATCTGTCTAGACCTCTTCACGTTGGACTTTTTAGAAAGATTGGGATCTACTAATGAGTTTTTAAACACTATTTTTGGCTTTCTATAGTCTTTTCTGCAAAATAGTAGAAACAGATTTACGTCTTTTTTTCAGATGTGATTAGCCAGGGCTTAATGCAACTTTCGGTAATCCCACAAGACTACACTTTATCACAAACAGCACCTTGGATAAACGTCTAAGGAAAATGCAATCCTATTCAAGTTTCTGTTCAAACCTAGAGGTATTGTTAATCTGGAGAGCTGCCATCCATGAAGCCTCACATGTTTCACCAGGCTGCATTTTCTGCAAGCGAAACTGATGAAAGCCAACAAGATGACCTGTCGGAAATTCTTAGCAGTGCTTCTGTTCATTGGATCTTTTTTTTTTAATTATTATTTCTGATGTGTCCTACGTAGCATCTAACATACTGTGAGCACTAAAAATCAAAATACGGGGGAAAAGCCTTACCTTATTTTTCCATTCCTTTTCCAGGGAATTGCTACTTCCTTGGGAATTTTGGCAGACATCTTTGCTTCTATGAATGAGAAAGATTATGTCCGTTTTAAAACCAACGCTGAGATTAACCTGGTAAGATTTGGTATTTGTCCGTGCAGGTTCTGCATGCACGCTTAGTCTGTTCTCTAGCTCTTCTCCTGTGCTGAGAGGCTGAAGAAAGTTCCATCTCTCCAGTGGGAAAAGTTCATTAGCAAATGAAAAATACCTTGCTTCGGAATAAAGAAATATTAGGAATATTTATAGAGTGTGTGTATGTGTGTGTTTATATATGTTTGCATTCATATAAAATGTAATATATGTATTATTTAATAGAAAAATTATAGCGTGTTTATAGAGCCAAAATGTGACACATGTATAGTGCGGCTGAGTTGAAAGATTCCTACAGAAGAGAAAATTGCAACAGACCTGGCTGTTGTTACATAAGATTTGACATCTCAGAAGATTTGAACGCCTCAGAGCTTAGGGAACCTACAGATCCTGCTGGACTCAGGTGACCAAATCCCAGGCTGTCCTCCTCCAGTCTAACAGGGTTACTTAGCAGGTAGAGCCTTCTCTGAAAAGAGAGCCTTTAAGCTGAGGTTTCCTCTCTTGTTTTTTTCATTTTACCAGCGCCTTCTTGGAGAGTTTAGTCATCGCTTATTATCAGCTGCGGAGGCCTGCAAGCTAGCAGCAGCCTACAGCCAATACACCCCGCTCTTTGTGCTCACAGCAGTGGTAAGTGTGATTCCTCCCCATTCTGAAAATGTCATTTTTTATAAGAGAAGAGCCCGAGCTATTACATTTGGATGCAGATCCAGCAGCCTTCAAACTTTACATTGTTCAGGGTGCTCATATCTGTGTGGTGGATATGATGCTACACGTTACTCTGAGCTCCGGTCTGAAGCTAAACAGAGAAAGATGGGCAGAAAGCAGTATCTGTCTACAGAGTGAGGACTGACTTTCAAGCCCACCAGGGAGTGCTGCTACTATTACAACTCCATATCCATTTAAAAGGAGAACAAGTAAGAGTATTTCCTGGTGGACAGGCAGCAGTAGGCAGCCTGAGCCACCATTTGCCTCAAACTGTATAAAGGAAAGAAATAGAATTTTTCCTCCCTTTATTTATTTGCAACAGAGGTCCAGGTTTCTAGTCCCTTGATCTGAAGTCTGTCTTCCCTGCAGAACATCCGAGGAACATGTCTGCTATCCTACAGTCACTCCAAGGACTGCCCCCCGGAAAAGAGAAAGTTCTACTTATCTGAAGCGAAGGAATCCTTCGAGATTGGCCTCCTCACCAAGAATGAAAGCAGCCCTGTCACCAGCAAGCAGGAGCTCCATAGTTTTATTAAAGCTGCTTTCTGCCTCGCAACAGTGCATCGATGGCTCTATGGGGAGAGCGAAAAACTCTGTGAGGTGAATCAACTATGTAAAGAAGCCATGGGAAAACTGCATGCTTACAGCACTTCATTTACAGAAGACGAAGACAAAGGAATGCTTGCCAACGAGATCATGTCTCTGATCACATGCATTAAGAAGAGCTTGCAAGTGGAAAGCTTCCCTAATTCTGATGCCAGGTCTTACGTTCCAGACAGTTATAAAGGTGCAGTGGAAAAACTTAATCTGCAAGGGGAAGCAAACTTTGAGAAAATCCTTGCAGTGCATTCACAGCATCATCTGTCAGTGTGTGAAGTGTTTGAAAATACTTGCAGGATTCATGAAACCACACCAGGAGAAAACAAAATGGGAGCTTGTATCACAACCTTAAAAACAGAAACAAAAAACATAGACACTGTGTGTACCACTGAAGAAACAGCGCGTAAGGGGAAAGACACTGCCAAAATACGTACTGCATCAGAAGCCAGAAGTAGCTCAGAGAGACTCAGTGGCCAAACAAGAAATAAACACATTGGTTCTGATGTGATGAAAAGCTCCTTTGAGGAGATTGAACCATTAGGAAGAGTGGTGAATGATGAAAACAGTGTTTTCAGCAGACAGCAAAACACGAGTCAAACAACTACTTCAGAGAACTCTTGGTGCAAGCTGTCACAATCAAGTTACTCTTCCAGCTGGGAGGAACTAAACTGCAATAGCAGCAAAGAGCCACCTAGAGAAGGGCAGCAGCAGGAAAAGGGTTTGGCAGGGGAGCAGTGTTGCACAACAGGATCTGAGGAGAACGCTCCAGCCGGTAGCTCGCGCTCATCGTCTCCCGGAGCTTGGCATCCTTCTCCTCGAGAGCTTCCACAGAGCTGTTTGGGGTCTCCTCAGCCTTCCACACAGGCGGATGCCCCCCTCGGTGGGCAGCTTGCGGAGAAGTCTTCTGTTTGCGGGGAACAGCTGTTGGAGGGGAGACGCCATGGGAAGAGCACTTCAGAAAAGACAGCGAGGGAGGCGGGCAATAAGGACTTGGCAAATAAGGCGGTGGCCTCCCTCCCCAGGCCTTGCCCTGGCCCTGCCAGACCCAGGAGGGAGGCAGCCG